CGGGCATTGCGGTGGTCTCGCCAACAAGATGCGACGACGGAGAAGAAGCATACGAAGAGGGGGGCCGTGAGCAGGTTACAGCTGCCAAGTCCGTCTTATCGCCAACTCCTGCGCTCGACTTGCGCATACGCGTCGTCACCTTGTCCACGGCGTTGTCCGAGTCGAACATGTTGCGCAATTCGGTGTACAGGCGACTATTAGAGTTCTCGCACTTCGGGGGTACTGAAGCCGAATTATGCGCCAATGATGACGATGATGACGTCAGATTGTCCTTTCGCTGTAAACGCAATCGACATGTTAGTTTATGACAGACAGACATGGTCATCCACAACGTCACCGCTTACCAACTTCTTGAAGTGGTGAGGACAATAACCGCAATACTTAATATTATCTAGTTGGCCGGGTTCCTCGAACAGAAGACGCTCCTTCTGCCCACTAAACAAATATTAATTAATTAAGCAATATAAGGGAAAAACACGACGTAAAACAAAAAAACTGTCATTCCCATACCAGGTAACATGGAAGTAGTTTTTGCAGCCCGGTTTATTGCACTGCATGCATGCCCCAGATTTCGCATCTTCCATTCGACCCTGCTCCTCGCATATGAAGCAAGTCTAAAACAATAAAAGGTAATCAAAAATGCTTTGCGTTTACACGTTACTCGACGGTCATCGTTTTATAATTGCTCAGCATGCGAATAATCGATCCGTGACTGCATGACCTTTGCAGCCGAATTGACACATTGTCATGTGACAAAAATAATCACAAAATCGGAATGTTTCCAAATAAGAAACATCGGGGGTCCAGGTGTGAAACGAAAACTTTGCTAGGTCCGCGACAGAGGCTGCTCAGATCAAGCATATTATATGTTAAGGAAGAACGCAAAATGCAACCAAATGTAACTTTCACCAATTTGAAGTAACAGATAGGATGATGAAGCAATTTAGCGAAAACGTGAGATAACCGCAAGTGAAATTCACCAGCGAGATAACCTCAAGTAAGGAGTTATCACTCCTGTATGCTTTCAACAACAAGTTGTTTAAGTACGATACTCTGAACCAAAGCTCAAAAAGAGAGTGTTACCCGCACTACGCAGTGAAATACCATGTTTTCACAATTTGCCCCCTACGTACATGAACAAAGAATGACGTTTAGCTGGCAGAGTACTCGCTAAAAGGCAACATGATCACAATCACAAATCTAAACCGACAAGGCCACGCCTTTGAGGAATTTTAATACTTTACGCATCAGGGAAATTATGCTTCCAAATTTGAGAATATTGAATCGCAATTGCATGATGATTACCAACGGCTGTTCAGACAAAACTTTGGAATTTTTTTTTCAATAAATCCCTCTCCCATCAATCATCGAATCAGAAAACCGATCGTGCTACCAGCATAAGCCTTAGAAATAACTTCAATAAAATCATACACGGTATTATGAAAGATAACAGCCGCAAACATGCACTCATTAGAGGAATGACTCAGTCAAAAAACTATGAAGTGTCCGCTAGATTGCACAATAACTAAAAAAACAGCTGAAGAAAACAATGTAAAGACGAACCAGAAAAGACTAAGAGCTATGCATTAAGATTAATGTCTGACTATCTGAACAGAAGACAATATCACTGACCTGTTCAAACAACACCTGACTGAGAATGGAAGGTAAAACAAAGAAGTCATAAAAGTTACGCAGTTTTTGATAATCCAAGATTTGGCTTAACGGGCGCCCAAGAGATTTCATCCTTAAGACTAACTAATCACAACTATTTAACATAATTACGTGAACCCTACCATTAGTACAGCTACTCTGACAGATTTCGCAAGAAAAAGGATCACAATATTTTAATGGATTACTCACTCTGTTATACTACTCACTTGTTCTACTTAGTCGATGAAAGTACCAAAGCAGCAAATAAATCTGCAATGGAATTTCTGACTAAATACAGAAGTAATAATAACGGCAGCCTAAAGCAGTAACGACGAAAACTTGACTATAGAAGTGCCATCAAGAAATGAAAAACGAATAAGCACTCAAAAAAGTGGCAATGAAAAGGTTTTGAAGCAGAAAGAATGAAGTCGAAGTAGTATGCAGAGAGCACCAAAAAATTCTAAATACGGACATGTATTGGCATCACTAACAACGAGAAATAAGTAAGCCTTCATGCAGTAAGATTAAAGTGATTGCTGCTACGTAAGAAAGAATGGGTGAAGTTCCAGCAGTAGCAAAAATAATGTCACAAAGTAGCTCTAACGGGTACGAACGTTAGAATCCATCACATAAGCAAAACAGTTAGTGTCCTAAATTAGTAGAAATACGTATCCTTAAATAATCCAACTAGTAGGATTAACTTGGTGGTAAAGTCTGAGATAAAATGACAGAGGTAAAAAGCATCAACAGATAGCAAAATTAGAAGCACAAAAGTGTTACATAAACAGGATTGTCGCAAACTCGATAAACAAGCACCACTGAAGGGGTTCCATTGCAGTACGAAAACAAGACCTGACGCAAGGTACATGGGAAGCCCACGTAGGTTTCAAAAGTAAAAGAAGCAAAGTCTTACAGTAGGTACGTTAGAAGTACAATGGTTCCAATATAGCAGAAATAAACAATAGAAAATTTAAGAAAATAACACTGACAGGATGACAACGAATGAATATTCGTAAACAGCGTCAATAACGGCAATTAATAGGTTCAAACGAATACCTCAAGTAGACAGGTACCCTGTTTAGGGTTGCAAATTCGGAATACTCATGAGTCTATAACGGCGAGCCAGTGAATTGCAGCACACTCATAATCAGCAGCAATAATCGAAAGTAATTACTACCAGCATGTCAGAATGTAATAAAAAGCATTGAAGAGCTTACAAATGCAGTATTAACAAGGTGCTGTTGGGAATATTCACAGCCAGTACTAACAGGATCTAAAAATTTTAAAAACAAGACTTTAGCCACTTATATTGTTGTTGCTGCTGTGCCATCCGCATAAAAGGCAAGCAGAGAGCTTAAAGAAAAGAGCGATCCAGAAGCTCGTACATAATGACGATCAACATGCTGAAAAAAATGTATCTGTAGCACTAACGCTTTACACAAAATATACATGGCCATGCAATCGTTATTTATTACAATTACCATTCACTATTATAAGCATAACAAGCGCTGACACTGAAAGGAACAGTGTGGACGTGCCGACAGTCCATCAGCTGTGTGGACGTGCCAATTAAAATCCTCATTCAGGACTGTTTCGCGATGAGAGTAATCCATCGGCTGTTTATCGATAAAAAATGCCGCTCGCCACATGTCATTTTCGCAACACTAGAATTTCTGTAGTAATCACCGCCGAAAATCATCGACAAAGCAACAAATCCTCAAAACATTCGGGTGAATCAGCTGATCTGTTCGGGTCGTGAAAATTGTTTGGCACACAATATTCAAGAATTTATTTTTAACACTTCAACATTTTCTTTTCATGTGTCGACCTGAGCCACCAAACGGGCGATTCGACAATTTGGACAAAAAATTAAGAAGTAACTCCTTTACACCGATGATTAGAACTGTTCCTCCTGATGGCAGAGACATGATTCTGGAGAAAAGAATAAAGTACGGAATGATAGGGGATAAGAAGAAGTTTACGCTTCGAATATGCTATGCAAATTAGCTAAGTCATAGATGAAACGATCAAATGAATGTCAACGAAGAGAACCGAGTAAAAGCGCACAATTTTAAACAGCCACGCGGCTGCAGATCTCAGTGAATTGTATTCGGCATCACATAACGGTAAAAGGAAGCAAACAAAGCAGAGAATCGGCAAAACAATGCAACAACAACAACAATGGAGTAAAACAGAGAAGTGACATTGTGAAATATTTATATTTACCGCTAGATAACTGATATGTATGAACTATAATTCATACAATTTTAGGACCCTTTTAGCGAGGTATTAAAAATATAGCCAATGCTTCAATTTTAGAAACCGAAGTACCTACGAACTGCGGCATAATGAGAGCAAGGATGACTTTTGTAAACAACGTTTTGACCAATGTGGTTTGGTAATAAACTAACGTGGATGAACAGAATTTAAGAGAAGACAGAGTCACAATGCTGAGAGGTCGAAGAATTCTTCAATCGTATAATGGGCAAAATAGCTGAGTGAGTGAAAGTCCCGAGAAGCGGGAGGTGGTAGACCACGTTGCGTACGTAGTACGACTACGTAGGGAAAGACAAACTACTTTCATTTGTAAGTACGCTTAATGTTACTCTTTTCTGTCATCTGTTGATGGATGTTACCGGTGGTTGGACATTGAATTTTAAACTCAATTTATTGTTCAAGGACACGCGATAGTATTCGTTAAGAAAAAAGGGAATAACGGAGAGACATGTTTATTTAATCACCTTCATCATAAGCCTTTGCCACAAACTTCTGTTTTCTAATAATTTAATTCATCGTCACCAAGTAAACTTCTTCAAATGATCCTGCGATTGATCTCCTGCAAATCCTGCGATTGATCTGTAGAACTGAAATGTATATTGGTCCAGTGACAGTCAATTATTCTTGGAAAGTGCCTACTCCATCGCCACTTCAGCCTGTTAACTCGGGCAATGACACTGAATATCTTAATTCATACATCTATCCATTCGTTTGTCTTGCCATTTTTTTCACGTTCTTCTAATCATAGATCTTTCGATGCTGTCGCATCGTTTGCGCAGACCACTAATTACTTTCAGGCTTAGGCTTCCATTTTCGCATTCGAAAACGGTTAACGCTAGTTTAATTCATTTACTGGTTTCGCAGAGATGAGCTGTTCCAAATAAACGCAGTTTTGCACTTGCTTATGCGTTAATGTACTATTGACTTAAACAGGTACTTAGGTGATATCATCATTAATCATCACCTCAGTCTTTTCCAGGTTCATTTCTTGTCCCGCTTCGATGCTGGTGTGGTTCAGTTTTGCGACTCTTCTCAGAAAATAATCAAACATCGCCGCAAATCGCAGGGGGTTTATTTAGCGTGGATTTATTTAAGCCTTCTATTTCACTGGTTTAGGTAATCAGATTATATAGTAATAGTGCACAGTTTAATGGATTTTTCAGCATATAATTACGAATAAAGAAAGAAAGGAAGAATCACAGTTGAAATGTCGGTCTTCTTCCATTTTCATTACTTTGACTCCTTTTTTTCATGAACTTAATAGTATGGTGCTGATGTCTGTTACTACGTTATCATCCAGGAGTGTCTTATCTTTCTGAAGGCAGAATCTACAGCTATGTGGCAAGCGTAGCGTGTAGTTTCTAGTTTTCTTTCCGTGGAGTGGCACTCATTTATGAACCTCGGAAAGAAAACGGGCAAACGGAACTTGAATTGGACATATCAATTCTGTCGGTTCAACGATTTTACGAATGAGTAGATCCCCTTGTCCTGAAACGTAATCGAACCCTGCCCCGTACCTCCGGAGTTCGAAACACGTTTCCTGGACAACTGCGTAAACAGGCCACGCTTAACCAATAAAAAGCCAGTTTATAATTTGTTTTTAAATCAGTTTCTTTTTTAAAATAGAAGCACAGAGAAGTAAATGACGCCGTATTAGGAGAAAGTGAACATATTTCTGGCAAATATTTTGTGACAGTGTCCAGAAGTCAAAAACAATTTTCCGGACACTCGTCATATAAAGGCTTGCAAAAACCATATAATTTGAGAGATGCTTAGAAAGTAATGAAA